GAGAACCTTAAATCTATACTTATAAATGTGTAATCAGTAACGAGTCCTCTGTCAATTGTACAATTGGCTTGAAAGAAAATACATTCAAGATTCAAGTTGGGAAGTACAATATTGAACAAACTTTATGGAGAACAGCTTCTTTAATTCGACGTATACAGAGAGACACAGCATACCCGAGTATGAGCCAAAGTTCTGCTACTGTAATAAAATCTAATAAACGTATGTTAATGTTTCTTTATTGACAGGGAATTCATGTAAGTATAATGAATAACCAATTTTCAATTGATGAGCCAAGTTAAAAACGAGCAGAAAAGACAACGGTAATTCTTATTGGGAAAGAGTTACCTCCCTTATACCAATGAAAACTCTACACGCCTTTTCCCCCTCAGGGTTAGATCAAAAACTCTGCTGCTGGAATTAGATCTAATTAAATTGTAACGTATGAAATTGTTCTTTTCTGACAGGATGGATGGACTGTTTAGTAAAAATGCACGTGTGGCGTATATGTGTCAACCTTTGGTAAAATTGTATCTACTGGCAAACAAGGATAAGTTGGACCGGCGCAGAGAACGCGTTTACGACATGACGATGAAACTGATTCCGCGCGTAGCTGCACACACCTTGCTCATAAGACTCTCGCGTGGTCGGTGTAACAAGTCGGTAAAATTCGGATATATAGATATATATTTCGATAGAATTAAGCATGTCAAAGTTTGGTAAGCACGGTCAGATAATACATTCTCAGACCCGAGAAGTGGCATACAATGTTATTAAGAACATGGAGAAAGAATGTACAACTACGAAACAGGCACTGTTAAAAGCCAGCAATGATACCGGTTTAGCCCTCTCTTCACATCCTAGCAGAAGGTGTCGATCGTGATAAATGGGGAGGGTAGTTTCGTTAGCCCAAGCAAGTCGCGAAATCGTCCTGTGATTAAATCCGAAATCGATGATTTCAACCAGTGCGCAATTTGCCAGTTTGTGCAAAACTCATCTCAAAAGACAGATCTCAATTAGGCGGGTTCTGGAGAATGTTTATGGTTAGCTCTGAAGCAAATGGGATTTAGATGGCGCAAACCTCAGTCAAATCGCAAGTTAGTCATGGAAAGGAAAGATATAGTTGCAAAACGAATGCAATACTTACGAACATAAAAAATACCGAGTTGCAAACCGCCCAATCATCTGTATTGATGAAACGTGGTTACATGTACACCACACTGTCCCACAATGTTGGCAACTGGAGGGTGACATGGATATAGGTGGGGTTCGACCACCATCTGGGTCTGGATCTCGGCTGATAGTAGTGCATGCAGGTTCTGAGAACGGATTTATGCCAAATGCACTGTTAATATTTGACGCAAAACTCAAAACGGCAGATTATCACCATGAGATGAAGTTTGAGAATTTCTCAAAATGGTTGAGTGAAAAATTGATACCCAATATTCCACCCAACTCTGATATTGTTATGGACAACGCTCCATATCATAGCAAGCAAGTTGACATGCGCCCAACAACCGCCAATAGGAAGGATGACATCAAAGCTTGGCTAAAGAGGCACGATTTGCCTTCAACGAAAAAAATGCTCAAAGCCGGTCCCGTATATCATGCTGGGACGACATGTCTATGTTGCTTCGGCATGGGCATAGTTTCTGGGGAGAGAGAGAGAGAGAGAGAGAGAGAGAGAGAGAGAGAGAGAGAGAGAGAGAGAGAAGGCAGAGAGAGAGTGAGAGAGAGAGAGAGAGAGAGAGAGAGGAGAGAGAGAGAGAGAGAGAGAGAGAGAGAGAGAGAGAGAGGTGTGTGATGATGATATATATGGAGAAGCATGTACACTGGGAATGACCACCCCCACCACCTCCTAAGATGTATGAACAAAGTACGTGCCCCACCATGCATGCCATGTACAAAATCAGTGACCACAACGCAAGACATACTGATTAAACAGTTAACAAATATATTCTGATCATTTCTATGAACCTGTTTAGCATGAGTGAGTGAGTTGGTTTTTACGCCACCTTTAGCAATGTAGCAGCAATATCACGGTGGGGGAAACCAGATTTGGGCTTCACACATTGCACCCATGGGGAATCGAACCCGGGCCTTTGGCGTGACGAGCGAACACTGTAACCACACCAGTGCCCCTTTAGCATGATATATCCCAAACGATTGTGAACTTATTATAGCGTCTATATTAACAAGTTGAACCACACAACTGAGACACGCTGACAACAGTAAACCAACAGGCTTATAACGGTTAAACACACAAACTGTCACGCTGGAGCTTAATTTATGAATCAAATGTTCAAGGACTTCCCTGTACTTCATGTCAGCTTTTCGCAACATTTGCACGTTTATTAAAAAAGATTTATGTGTTGAAATCGTTAAAGAGCATGAAATTATGAGCCCGTGGTCCATACTTTCTTCTTCCAAACAAATATTTAATGGTAAATTCAATATTGACGAAAAACAAATTTTGATTATATGTTCAAGGGGTATTTATTAATGGGAATTAATAGTTTTATTTAGTTCTAAAGTATGCAGTAGGTAAGTAGTATCTGTTGGAGGGCATTGTCAATGTTCGACCTCAAAGCACTACAGGTGTCGCGTGTGGGACTGTGACAGAGACACGACTGTCAGTTACGACATGTAATCCGTCACAGCCAGGCTACCTGCCCTCTGACACGCCGCACAAATGCTGCACTTTACAGGCACAGCAGCTGATAAGCTGGCCAAACAGAACTGTGATGGGGTCATGGTTATCTATACAATGTGACGTCAGCTGTCGTCATGTTGGCGTCAGTTACGCGATGGATTCATGTTATATGCCATCCTGAAGAACGAGGTATTATAATTGCGCTATTAATTATCAACACGACAAATGAATTTATCTATGGAGGAAACGTTGCTTGAAATGCTGAAACCCATCCTCAAATTCCAAGGGATATGTCAAATACAAATGTATAATTCTGATATTAAAATTCATTGAAATCACGAATAAACGTGATTAGTGCAGCCCGACAGCTAAATACGTATTCTCCCACCGAATTTAATATGTGTTAATTCTTGAGGTACAATCGAGAATGCTCTATCCATCAAGCACTAATCCTTTTGCTAATGGTCATGATCAAAGGTTGTGTGATCGACATTACAAAATACAAGGCCACAGCGAAACATTCAAACCGTTTTATGGTTGACATAGGAAGAACGTTACCAAATTCTTACTCATCAGTGACACAGTGATGACTGATACAGTTCTTCATTTTGACCTGTGCCATATGTTCTGGTGTGTTTTGCAGTAAATAGCCTCAAAACTGTATACACATGAAAGCAAATACTATTGTCAGGTGCATAAGCAATTAGTATAATTTATAAAAGATTAAGTCCAGATATTCGTGCTTGTTAAAAGCTCCTTTGTGCATACAAGATCTTTCGCCGCTTAGTATCTCGACTCAGTCTTATATATATATCTTGGGCATGGTGTTCTTATTAATATATATATTAACAAGATGAACACTTCTTCTACAAAGCATGCTTACGAGATATTATTGCAATGTATTGCCCAGCCGAATATGGATAATAGACTGAATAAATCAGAATATCCTACAACATACTTACACAAAGTGTAAGGAATGTGTTTCTCGCCAAACTCATATTTGAAAGAATTAACGCGTATATCTTATCGACTTGAGTTATTTAAGTCGTTTGACAGGGATATTAGGATATCAGAGGAACGATAATGACACCGTATGAATGACGAGGTGTATTCAATGACTCCTACATCTAATTTCAGATATAAGGTGTGTGGATGTTATGCACTCTGTAACCTGCTGGCATTCTCTTAGTGTTGACGATATTTTGTTACAAAATTTAAGGTGTCTCATTAAAAATTTCCAATTTAACACACCAAGCAATAAACTATGACCAAAATACCCACTGTAGGACATGCTTGAATTAAAATCTTAATTGTGATACTCTTCACATAACATCTTACTTGTGGGTGTGCGTGTGCGTGTGCGTCTGGGTGTATTCTTTACACTTTGTTGGAAACAGTATCATCAATATTAACTTTAGCCATTAATTTCATTCCCTACTATTTCGGATCTGTTGTCCAATGTTTTTTCGACCGCCTCCGTGGGGTAGTGTTTAGAGCGTCCGTCGGGAGATCAGAAGGTCGCGGGTTCGATCCACGGCCGCGTCATACCTAAAGACGTTAAAATATGGTCTCTTCCTTGCGCTCGGCATTAATGACGTTAAAATATGGTCCCTACCTTGCGATCGGCATTAATGGGTACAACAAGGACTGGGCGGCTAGGAGTCAGTATAATGTGTCTGAGTGGGGTATTCATGCTTAACTGCGGCATGGTATCTCAGAGAGCAAGCACAAAACCCCCCAAATTAAGTCTAGGCTAGTTCAAGCAGCCACACATGCACACGCATGAACGTCGTCATATAAGCGAAATATTCTTAAGTACAACGTTTCACCTCATTTCACTTCACTTCCAGTATTTTTTCCTAATTCGTTCCAATAAATGCCACCAAAAATATTACGATGTAAACAAAAACACCTAACAACAAAACACTACATGAAGCTCATTGTCTTATCAACATACAGACGTTATTGTCTGTCTACGGGTGATGACACTGAAGTCAACATAATGTTAAGAAAAATAATAATCAAGAAAAACACTAACATATGACGTTTATGTTCTTAAGCAAGGCCGAAGCAAAATAAGGAAACAATAAAAACCTGATTGATTGGCAGATTGCCGCACTTGACTAATTATGTCTCTCTGACGTACAAGGATACATCTTGATTTATCATTTCAAACAATCCGGAAACATGTAGGTCGGGGATGTCTATTGCGGCAGTGGCGGCAGTGGATGACGTACCAACGTCACACAGTTTGACTGACAGCTGTCACGTGACACGAGAGGAGGGAGCGAGCCGATAGTATATAATGAGACACTGGACCAATCTCAGCCAGCGACTGTGAACACTTCAAGAACTGAACTTCACACATCATCCTACCATGGGAAAGGTATAATTCTTTATCTAATTTATCTTTTATAAAACGCAATACTTTGAAATACATTTCAGATTTAACGTATTGAGAGCGGTTTTGGTGTGTAATGATGGATATTGCTGACAGAAATGAATATATTCTTATTGCGTGAGACAATTACGTTAAAGGTGGCATTTTACCATTTAGAAATACTCTGGCGATACTCCGATCTACACTTAGGTATGAATGCATTTATAGCTACTGTTCCAAAGGTAGTAATGTTTAATGTTTAAAGGGCATCGTTCAACTGAACCATTTTTTCTAGAAAGTTTTAAACCAAGATTGTCCAGGACTTGAAAGGTTTCAAACTACTGCCATTAAATTACTGAACAACTCAATATGATGTCCCATTTACTATGACACAAACTTAAGGGTGTACTGTAATAACATGCAATCATTCTGTTTCAGGTTATATACAGTATCGTGGCATTAGTCTGCCTCGTCGCCATGACGACGGCCCTTCCCCCTCTCCCAAAACCCGCCTGCTATTCCCAGCAGCTTTCTTCTGACCAGAACTTTGATCTCAGCTTTGTCTGCAATGATGGAAGAAAATATCCCGAGTAAGTACATCTACCTTAGCATTGAGCAGTGGTTGATTGGAAAGGCACAGGAAAGGTCGTATTTATTTCGTTAGAGAAGCTATTCCTTTATTGAATGTTTATCAAATCAGATTGTAACGAGTCAATTTCTTCATGATGTACCGTTTCATCAACTTATCGGACACGTGTATAAGTAAATGTTCTGTCATTTCTGACATAATATAAACTTTCTAAGATCCCATGTACCTTAAGTCGAATTACCTGCCACGTGTATATGTCATAACAATATATGTACTTGAAATAAAAATGTCTGACATTTTCACTATACATGTATATAACATACCATTTGCCTTTAAGTCAAATTACCTGAGATATGCTCCGACAGTTAACGTGCAGTTAAGACAAAATACATGGCTTTTACACTTTGTAGGACATATCTTATACTTCGAATGAATACATTATAACAGGTTATGTACGGTTAAGTCGAAATGTCTGACATATTAACTTTGTCTACAGACAGGAGATCGAGGAGGCTCTGTACTACGCCGACGACCACTGGCGTATCTACCTCAACCTGACCTCCACCTGCTTCCAGGACCAAGACACATACTTCTTGAACAAATAGTAAGTAGCACATCACAAGGATTAGTTTGTGTCAAAATCGTCCGGTTTAACAAATACCCCCAATACGGAATAATGAGTAGCGAGTATTGTCCCAATGATTGCATATATACAATTACTGTTTTGCATGTTTGAAAATTAACTTTCAATGGCTTTCTAAAAACCTCGTCATTGAAAAGGACATTTTGCAGAAAAATATTCATCGCTGTAATCACCGAAATGCTTCTTCTTGGTATCCTTAGCGGTGGGGTAGCCTAGCGTTTGCTTGTCACGCCGAAGACATAGGCACAACGTGTGAAGCTCATTTCTGGTGTCCCCCGCCGTGATATTGCTGGAATATTGCTAAAAGCGGCGTAAAATTAAACTTACTCTTCTTGGTGTCCATATCAATTATCATGACACCAAAAGCATACATTTTAGAAATTCGCTTAGTTCTTTCAATCAGCCCACAGTCATGTCACCATGACGTAAACATCTTCACAAAACATTCATCGCTGATATTGGTGAATGTTACTGAATTCTATTGTCCTTGACCTTGCAGCTCTGTGCCCAAACACTACAACCTGAAGAGCGTGTGCAACACCACCCGCACCATGGTCCACACCGTCTACGCCATGGATGGTCAAGTCTGCCACGTTGTTCGTCCTCACGCCCAGAAAATCTACTACGCCACATGCGGGTACGTACACTGTTATGGTTATCAAGATAAAACTTGTCGGGGTAGTTAATAGGTATTTAGTATCTAAATTCAAATATTATAAGGAAGCTCAGAGGAACATAATCCTTTGCATGCAATGGTGCAGTACATATTCATACATACACATTTATTGTACACATATTTTTGCGAAATTAGGAATGATTAATATCAAAAGTAATATCAACATACATATCATTTCTTTGGAATCTAAATATTACCTATCTACAATACTTAATGTAACCTGTTTGTTTTTACAGAGGAGAATGTAACCTTGGCTACGACGGTGTGACCGGCTACCACTGCATTCAACGCGGCATCACCTACCGCAACTTCCTGGGTTACTGCCGTTTCCCCGACCCCGCAATCTTCCCCGAAACTGACCCCATCTACGCTCTTGACCCCTCCGTAGACAACTTCTACGATCCCCGTGCTGTCCCACCCACCTACCGCATGCAGCACAACCTCCTCCAGAACGGGGCCAAGTACCAACGCACGGGCTACTTCACGGAGCTGAGCGTTACCCTCCCCAGCTACTGTGGCTGCAGGGGATATTTCTGTCCCCACGACAGGATTCTTTAAAGGATGACTTTATATAAGCGACTGGTACAACATGAACCTGAACCATGGACCAGTCGTTTTCTTCAGTCATTTCTTTTTTGACACGGGATGAAGATTTTTTAGAACCAAAATTGTTTCAAATAAATGGGAATTACAGATACTAGTTTGTACACAGGTAACTATTTTTCAAATAAGGATTCTTTCCAACTTGCACCATGAATGTAGTCTTGGTCTGAAGTTAGCAGGTATGTCAATTGTAAATATTTTGCGAATTCCATGTAAATACTTTCTATAGTAAATTTTGTGAACATGTATATGATCCTTCTTTGTACAGTGTAAACAGACCTCATCATTGATTGTGCGCGCATGTATATAATGTACAGATGTAAATGTGTGAAAATAAAAGCATCGTGAAAATATTAGTTTCTGTTTGATGACTGTATGTGCTTATGTTGGCCAATAGAAATATATATTTGCAGTTGTGATTCACATTGTAAAGAGAGGTACAAAAGAAAGTACACAGCGGGGATTTTGAGATTTAAAAAAGGCACGAACTCGGAAAAGAAATTTTTTTTGGTTGAAAAGTGTTTTCGTAGTGGTTTGTAAGTCACAAAGTTTGTGTACTTGTACATGTATATCCTTTACAATGCCATGCGTGAAACATCAGACGAGCTATGATTTTGTAAAATGTACGAGCATGTTATGCGCCATGAGCATAAAACACAGTTGATAGAGATTGTTTGTGGTATACCTGGACTGACCAGCACTGAAATGAAACTCCGTCAATATGTTAATCTTGAAATACAGTAGAGTAGTAGCAAACATTCCACACACAGATGACATCTTCAGATTATATGACAAGAGGAGTGATTTGAAATTTCCAGTACTCAACTCTCCCTTATGTCCAACGTTCGCAAGACTTCTGCAGCTCCCGCCTTTTGTGTTAAAAAAGAAGTTTACATTTATCTTAATTAAGCTCTTTAAACACAACCCGTAGGCAATCAAAATTGCGATGGACAATGGAAAACTTCTCCACATTGTTTGCAGTTGAGCGAGGGTCCACAAAGCCATGTCTAAACTAAGACCATCCCTTATTAGACATTCTATCTATCGTATTCACAATTTATATAGGTGCTGGGCCGAACAATATGTTTCTGTAATATCAGAATCACCTTCATATTGGAGGGAAGTTCCCGAGTACTGGACTGAAGTCAGTTTCTTCTTTAGTTAAACCAAGGAGTGGGTTGTCGCGTTGACATACCAATATACACCTGTATTACTTAGCTGATGACTAGTAGCCGAAAACCTGCATCCCTCATAAACATATGCAAAGGCTAGTGAATTATTCACCTGAACAAATTCGGGCTTGGATGTTTTAACTTTTATTGACCACTTCTGAGCAAGACGTCTGACGATCTATGAAATATTGGAAAAAGAGCATGCTCGACTGTACTCAAAAGTTGTGACATGTATCAAAGGATGGAGCTGTTGGAATAGGGGCACCTGTATAAGTTGTGACATTTATCAAAGGATGGAGGTGTTGGAATAGGGACACTTGTATAAGTTGTGACATGTATCAAAGGATGGAGCTGTTGGAATAGGGACACTTGTATAAGTTGTGACATTTATCAAAGGATGGAGGTGTTGGAATAGGGACACTTGTATAAGTTGTGACATGTATCAAAGGATGGAGCTGTTGGAATAGGGACACTTGTATAAGTTGTGACATGTATCAAAGGATGGAGCTGTTGGAATAGGGACACTTGTATAAGTTGTGACATGTATCAAAGGATGGAGCTGTTGGAATAGGGACACTTGTATAAGTTGTGACATGTTGGAATCACTTGTATAAGGATGGAGCTGTATCAAAGGATGGAGCTGTTGGAAGAGGAGGGACACTTGTATAAGTTGTGACATGTATCAAAGGATGGAGCTGTTGGAATAGGGACACTTGTATAAGTTGTGACATGTATCAAAGGATGGAGCTGTTGGAATAGGGACACTTGTATAAGTTGTGACATGTATCAAAGGATGGAGCTGTTGGAATAGGGGCACCTGTATAAGTTGTGACATGTATCAAAGGATGGAGCTGTTGGAATAGGGACACCTGTATAAGTTGTGACATGTATCAAAGGATGGAGCTGTTGGAATAGGGACACTTGTATAAGTTGTGACATGTATCAAAGGATGGAGCTGTTGGAATAGGGACACTTGTATAAGTTGTGACATGTATCAAAGGATGGAGCTGTTGGAATAGGGACACTTGTATAAGTTGTGACATGTATCAAAGGATGGAGCTGTTGGAATAGGGACACTTGTATAAGTTGTGACATGTATCAAAGGATGGAGCTGTTGGAATAGGGACACTTGTATAAGTTGTGACATGTATCAAAGGATGGAGCTGTTGGAATAGGGACACTTGTATAAGTTGTGACATTTATCAAAGGATGGAGCTGTTGGAATAGGGACACCAAGTTGTGACATGTATCAAAGGATGTATAGCTGTTGGAATAGGGGACACTTGTATAAGTTGTGACATTTATCAAAGGATGGAGCTGTTGGAATAGGGACACTTGTATAAGTTGTGACATTTATCAAAGGATGGAGCTGTTGGAATAGGGACACTTGTATAAGTTGTGACATTTATCAAAGGATGGAGCTGTTGGAATAGGGACACTTGTATAAGTTGTGACATGTATCAAAGGATGGAGCTGTTGGAATAGGGACACTTGTATAAGTTGTTTCAGTGGGATTGTCCTGGGTGATGTTTAGTTGTCAATGCATCTGGCGTCCCGTACTTCCAGACAAACTACCGAATTCTTGTAGACTTCATGCCATGAGTGAGCATAGTATAGACATTTTTAGAATAGTATTGTGTATAAAAGCAACAAAGGCATTTCCCTAATCACAAACATCTCTGCTAGTCATTTGTACGATTCCAACTATTCCATAGGCAACATATGTTATATTTGGGATTACACTTTATGTTACATTTGACCACTTTCTAAATGGCATTGTGTAATCTATATGCCGTAGGCATTTTGATATAAATCACAGGATGAAGACTGACTTACACTGGCTGCAGACCTCTACTAGTAGCAATAGAGTGTGCACGGCTTTACCAGTAAAAACAGAGCGGTCATTTCATTAAGTGCTTGTGTGTTTGCTTTAGGTAAAACATCAGAAGACTTTATTCAAAGTGTAATTAATTCAGCTGACAGGTTTGCGACAGACTGATATGGATGTATGCATATATTATAACCCAAAAGCATATTGCCAGAAGTATGATAGTTTTCGTACATGTTTTGACATTTAAATGATGCTTGATTAATCAGATCAGTTGTTTCTACATCGTTATCACTGAAACGTCAACAGACAATAAGGAGGATTATTGAACAGAAAGTTGAGAAAAATGAAAAGTTATACCCGTAACCTGCTAGATAAGTGTCGGGAATAAACACTAAAGTAGTATTTGATATATTATTAGGGGCAAAATATTGCTTCACCCAAGCTGTAAATTAAGTAGACTGTATTCCTCTAGGTGAAGGAAGACCGTTGCTCAAGGATGTTCTTTAGCTGACAGTTGTGATTTTGGGTGCGTACATTAACAATGATGGTATTGTCGTTACTGACGGTCATTGTTCAAAGGGATATTGCCGCTTATGGTGACTGTTCGTAAAGAGATTATTACTGTTGTTGAAGTTCATTGTTCGGGGTATCGGGATATGATCAGTGGTGATGGCCATTTTTCGACTGTTTCGGGTATTTGGGGCTAGACATCTTCGGACACTTTGCTCCACAGACTTATGGGCATGTACAGTGAAACTGATTGTAACCTGTCTTGCCATGTATGACATTATGACATGGTAATTAAAATAAGAATTTGTTACTTGACTGGCTGATATCACAAAGCTTGCATTAATAGATGGGTGTTTCTGGAATGCAAATGGCCCAAGCATGTACACCAGGTTAAGTTTACTTCCATCAAACTAAGATATACGAAAATAATTGATTAAAAGTAACAACGTATGAAGAATGTTACCAATAATATCAAGGTTAATTGTTTGATGAGTCAATAATGAAGAATACAACCTTGTTTATTGCATAGAGCGACGTTTCGGCGTAGACTTATACTGGACCAAGCATACATGTATACATCAGCTCCATAGCTTGATAACGGTGTAAGAATCAACACTGAAACGTCGCACTATGTAATAAACAAGAGTTGTCATCCATACAGTTGTATGCTTCATTTATATTAAGGTTACTGGAAAAGCAGGGAACAATCGATATATGTCTTGAGATTCTGTGGCAATTATTGTCCAAGTATTATGTGAGGTTAATTCTTATCAGTGACATGGTATTTTTCAGTTTTTACCATGGCGTGACAAATTTGGAGGATACTTGTGGAGATCCGGCAAAAATTGGTCTTCAGAAACTTATGCTTTTTGTAGGTGATTTACGACTATTTGCAGACCGCCGTCACACAGTGTTAAGCAACAGAATAGCTAACTAGGTGACACCTTGCAGTCGTAGATCTCACTAGCACCATCAGCTCCAACTGATATAGACATATAGCACAAGAAGGAACTCGGTTACATACTGTAAAACAAAGAGATGAAATGGAGTTAAAGATCGCGATGCTGATCAGTGGATGTATATAGAGACATGCATATATCCACGCGTGCAGGTGCATGTTCGTGCGATGAACTGCTTGTACTAGCATAGCGGTTAGAAACATTGCTTCGTACCGGGATTCGAGTCTCAGACCTTCGGATTCAAAGTCGGACGCCTTGTCCACATGGCCAAAGAGGTAAACCCCGACTAACTGCGTAGTGTATATATAGTGCTATTTCTCTGTAAAACCATGTCGAGCTATTAACCAACAGGCATACGACCAGTCAGTATCATATTCTCCTAATGTCGAGCACCCGGCAGCGTATGACGGGGCCAGGTATTGATCCTTCGACTCCGGAAATGGAGTGTAGGTGGGGTTCATTATTTAGTCAGTCATGCCAGATTGTAAGACTTAGTATATTTGACCATATTAATCGTAAATAATTGGTAAACAGCAAGTTTAAATTCAATTTGTTTTATTCTGTACAAATCACATGAAATATCACAAAATGCACAAATACTATTCAGAGCGGTTTTGTGTTGGCACCATAATTAAATATACAGGCTATGTACAATATAAACAAACTATTTACATGAGCGTGCATGATATATGTACAGATGGTGTTAGAAAACTGTAAAGGATATAGTTGACAAACATCGTCAAAATGTATTCTCCCCAGGTCTTTTTGTATGGTTCAACTATATCATTTTTAAAAAAACTGTAATTTGGAAGGTCACAATATATATATTATACGAAATTACAAACCTGTGTTGCCAGTAGACTGACACAAATATAACAATAACACTGACAAATGTGTAGACATGTAGTGAGTGATCTCGCACCTGCGTAAGCATACATGCATTTGGTGTTCTTAAGTCATGCGATTACGTCACTATTTCGCGTGCGTAAAGTTACGACTTTAAATTGGAGTGTAAACCACGGTTTACACAAACTGGTACTTGAGACATTCGTACTTCTTACAGCTGCATCCGGTTGGGATGGTGACGCGGGTTCTGCGACACTGCTTGATCTCGCCGGGACAGAAGACGTAGATGTCACGTTCAACCATGCCGTCGGGGACGCAGTAGTGGTGTTTCACCTCCGTGGTGTCCATGACGCAGTGACCTCTGGAGAAAGGAGAATTAATGGTTTTAATAATATTTTATGATAAACAATATATAACCCGTGTTCCACAGAAATATATATTTGAAGGAAAACAGTTATCTGTACCACGTTCTAATGAAACAACGTTTCTTCAGGGTGACGAGTGTGTGACGTACCCGCATTGAGCGACCTCCACTCCCTGGGCTTCAGGCATGATGACGTAGCAGACCTCTCGGCGCCCGCTCTGGGTGTTGGTCCACCAGATTCTCTCCAGGAGCTCAGTGTCCTCTGAACACAGATCCTTGAAGCGGTAGGCGGGGTAATGACTGGAATTAACAAAAACTATGTTGTTTAAAACGCCCATGGTATAAACATATTACTTCTTGAATAAATATCTCTGTGACTGGAGTTTGTGACCGTGTTCCAGAAAATATTATTGAAAAAGGTAATATGGAACTTGGAGGTGTGATCACAAATCCTGACTGCCCATCACTGGTAATATTGTCACATCAACCAATGCAAAACGTTGCATTAGAATATACCTTTGCAAAACTAAAAAGTAGAATCAAATATAGATATATGAATCTCGAAATGACAATGGATTCCACGGATTTTTTCTTGTAGTTCAAGTGGATCATCTGTACCTACCCAGTGGCGTTCATCTTGTTGTGGAGGTAGCAGCCCTGCACCAGCAACATGTACTCCATTGCGTCGGGGTCATTCTCCAGGGCGCTGAACACACGGTCACTGGAACAAGCACGTTACCATCAGTGTCAGCCAGTCATCATACTTACACACTTTGTCATATGGACAACTGTAGAACTTACATGGTAGTCAGGTACAGCTTAATCCAACTTCACAATTTCATAACAGGTTTGTTTCTAAAAAACTATGTATACACGGGGAATGAAACCGGAGCCTAACACATCGGCCAGGCGATGACATTTACCACTTGGTTATACTTCCCGCCTTAACTAACTTCAAGGCATAAATTAGCAATACTGAAGCATATTCAGATATAGGCATTAGAAGCTTTGCCTAAACAAAAAGAAACACATCAGATATCATAAAGATGTATCACGTTTTGAATATATATACACATTTTTAGGAAAATGCACCAAAAAGATGTGATTAAATATAATACTTACACAGGATACTTGTAGGACTTGTCAAAACACAGCTTCTCCTTGGTCGGCCACTCGTACTGTGGGACGCCATTCTTGTCAAAGTAGCAGATTGGCTGTTTGGTCTTGGAGGAGAGGTGACTGAAGATGCTGGAGCCGTCACGGACGCGAGCCCCAAACAAGGAAGACTTTCTGGATTTCAGGAGGCTAGCGAATCTGCTGGATGTGGAACCACCCAAAGAACGCCCGTTGACGGCGGGTCGATTCCACGCCAAGCTGACGGCGGCCAGAGACACGAGAATGCATAATGTCTTGAGAACCTGCTGGAAGATATGAGAGAAACATTTGTTGAGACTTGATATGAATTCTGAATTTTCCTTTATATTATGCTGTTACATTTAAGTCAGCAACAAGAACAACATCAATAATTTACCCTGCACTTGTCAGATAATATTTAGCATGTATACACCAATTAAACTACTAAGTATATCAAGACAGAAACTTTACACCACTTTTACTACAACAACTACGATTGTTTGTTATAAATTTGTTACAATTCTTCGTGCATAAATAAATTGCTTAACAAGACATTAGGACACAAAATATATACTCACCATATTTATAAACAAAGGACAAATTATGTTAAATAGTTACTGTAGCTGTGTACAGATATGGCTGACTGACTGTGAGCGTGCGCTTGCTTTTATTCCCCTCGCTTCAGAAGGAGGACCATATTTCAGCCAATCAGAAGAAGCGATTTTTTGAGTGCCTGCATTTACTCAAAACAATGGATGCATTGAATGACGTACACGGAAGATAATATGGAGTATTATTGGCTAACGACTTTTGGAAATATACTCACCATGCATCACGACGTCTTGCCCATTCATCAGGCGAATGACAGGTGGAATAACATGGCTTATGTAGAGATACAAACGAAGCCTGAATTAGATGCATAAAAATGATGACAGTTTTGACAAGATTGACGTTATGCAAAAAATTATTAAGAGGTAAATACTTACGTCATAGAGTTTTATTAACAGCTGATAAGTGGGTCGGGGAACGAGCCGACACTATATAAAGAGACGGTGTCCCAATCTTAGCCAGCGACTGTGAACACTTCAAGAGCTGAGCTTCACACATCATCCTACCATGGGAAAGGTATTTAGTTATATTGGATTTATTCTATTGAAACTGTTGATTCTATTAAAACTGTTGATACATTGAAATGTGTTCCATCTTGCGGGCACAGAGAGAACACATTTAAATGTAATGTTGCAAATTGCTCTCTGAAAAGAATATGGTTCGAGTATGTTGGTTGACTGGTTTGTTTCACGCCGCATTCAGGAAAATTCCAGCCATATGGCGGCGGTCTGTAAATAATCGAGTGTGGACCAGACAATCCAGTGACAAACATCATGAGCTTCGACCTAGGCAATTGGGATACGAGGACATGTGCCAAACAGGTCAGCGAGCCTGACCACCAGATCCCGTTAATCGCCTCTTACGACAAAGATGCTGAATACCAGTTCTAACCCGCATCTTCAAGAGTCTTCAAATATGGTGTTTTTCACGTGTAACTGTTAATTTACATATAGCACTTTCCTGTATATTAACACAGATATGTGTTATGTCTTTAGAGCTCTTTATCTGGGGAGCAATAACAACACCTGATGTAAGCTCAAGTGTGTACAGCAAACAATATGTATACCATAGTCAGTTATTACATGTAACCCTTTGTGTTTCAGTTCTTTTGCAGCATCGCGGCATTCGTCAGTCTCGTCGCCATGACGACGGCACTTCCTCCACTCCCCACGCCCGCCTGCTATTCCCAGCAACTTCATTCTGATCAGAACTTTGATCTCAGCTTTGTCTGCAATGATGGAAGAAAATATCCCGAGTAAGTGCATTAAAATATTAGAAACGATTAATATACTGTTCAGGTCTGTATTGGACAACCGTTTCATTTCGTTAGAAAAATTTTGCTTACGAAAATAAATTCTATATGAATTAAATCAAGTTAAAACGAGTTACATGTTAAGTTAAGTTAAGTTAAGTTACATGTACCCGTATGTACCTAACATGTCTGAATTTCCTACATATTCACTTTGTTTGACATACCATATTCCTCAAATTCGAATGTATCATACAACAGTTTATGTACGGTTAAGTCGAAATGTCTGACATATTAAAACCATTTGCCTTTAAGTCAAATTAGCTGAGATGTGTATATGCTCCGACAGTTAACGTACCGTAGAGACGAAATGCATGGCTTTTACACTTTGTAGGACATATCTTATACTTCAAATGAATATGTTATAATAGGTTATGTACGGTTAAGTCGAAATGTCTGACATATTCACTTTGTCTACAGACAGGAGATCGAAGAGGCTCTGTACTACGCCGACGACCACTGGCGTATCTACCTCAACCTGACCTCCACCTGCTTCCAGGACCAAGACACATACTTCTTGAACAAACAGTGAGTAACACATCACAAGGATTAGTTTGTGTCAAAATTGTCCGGTTTAACAAATGTCCGCAATAATGAATAATGAATAGCGAATAATGTTCTTATGGTTATATAAAGTCGTCCACAATATGTACTTCCGGAGAACTGTGAGCATCTACCATCAATGGCTCAACGTCTTTTTATCACGCCCCCTGTTTTATGTCCACTATACTGGCGTGGAATTGCTGTATTTAGGTGTATTCAGCGAAACACTTCAAATCAACAAAACTAACTGTCTTAAATGTCAGTCTAGTTGTATTTAGTTCATTACAGAATGTTACGAAGTTGCTTCTTGGCATCATGAATTATCATGAAAACAAACGCATACCTTTCAGAAATTCCCTTCGTACTTTCCTAAGCATCTATATCACATATACATCTCCACATATAGATTAATCACTGGTATTGGTGAATATCACATAATGATATATACAAGTTTTCTGGAAACCCGACCTTGACCTTGCAGCTCTGAGCCCAAATACTACAACCTGAAGAGCGTGTGCAACACCACCCGCACCATGGTCCACACCGTCTACGCCGTGGACGGTCAAGTCTGCCATGTTGTTCATCCTCACCAACAGAAGGTGTACTACGCCACATGCGGGTACGTACAGTTATGTCTTTAATAGATGCATATTCCTGACTACCATTCATAACCGAAATATATTTGTATGGATTTATCAAACAGCGGAATACGTTTGATTCTTATATATGCAAACGAATGCGAACTGAAACAAATAATTGAGAAAGTATACGTAGTTTGAAAGTATATGTTTACATGTTGTGATATTCAAGGAACACCTTTGATAGCAAATATACTCATTTATTGACCATGAAAGAAGTTTTGAAGACATGTAGATGTTGAATTAAGGACAATACTTATTATAATTTATATCTCAACGGTTTATAGGGTAATTGTTTCTAGTCTACATGGCTAATCAGGTCCTGCTTTCTTTACTGAGGAAAATGTACCCTGGTTACAACAATGTATGACATAATACTATTTATCTACAATACTAAATATAAGCTGTTCGTTTTACAGAGGAGAATGTAACCTTGGCTACGACGGTGTGACCGGCTACCACTGCATTCAACGCGGCGTCACCCACCGCAACTTCCTGGGTTACTGCCGTTTCCCCGACCCCGCAATCTTCCCCGAAACTGACCCCATCTACGCTCTTGACCCCTCCGTCGACAACTTCTACGATCCCCGTGCTGTCCCACCCACCTACCGCATGCAGCACAACCTCCTCCAGAACGGGGCCAAGTACCAACCCAAGGGCTACTTCACGGAGCTGAGCGTTACCCTTCCCAGCTACTGTGGCTGCAGGGGATATTTCTGTCCCCATGACAGGATTCTTTAAATGATAATTATATTTACGGGGCCGACACAAAAGGAACATGAATCAATCTTCAAACATTTCAGTTTTCACAAGTAGTGACACTATGTATTAAAGACCTATAAACGTTTTAGGAATTTTAGACTTCTTTTCAGATATATTGGAATTCTAGCGGTTTTTGGCACTCAAAAAATTGTTTTCAAATTATGTTTCTCTCAAACTGATTTTTTCGCACTTTATAGCACTATGTAGTTTTGGTCTGAAGTTGCCATATACGTGAATTGTAAATATTTTGCGAATTCCATGTAAATATGTATGTGTTCTATCTTTGTACAGTGTAAACAGACATCATCATTGATTGTGCGCGCATGTATATAATGTACAGATGTAAATATGTGAAAATTAAAGCAATATGAATATATTTCAGTTTCTGTCTTGATGACTAATGCTTAATGTTGGCCAAAGGAAACAAGTACATGAATATAGTTGTGTTTGTTGTAGTTTAACGCAGTCTGTAAATAATCGAGTTGTTTGAACATATTTTGAGAGAGAGAGAGAGAGAGAGAGAGGGAGAGTTTATTCGCATAATGGCCTCATGGCCCAGAGTACACAAAATACATAATTGTTTGTTTGTGCGCATTCAATACATATACATAAATATAGTACACCAATAAGTAGCAGTCAAACAGGTAGATTTCTCTTCAGATAGATTGCTAGACTTTTAATAACATTCACATTTTTGGTCCATAACAACTGCTTAAACTTCAAGACAGATGGATGTATATGATAAAGCCAGGTATAAACTGCATCCGACTTGTATGGTAATAAGGACATACTAATAAAAAGTGGTATTCGTCTTCTACGACATCTAAATGACACTTGATACATATTGCTATAGTATTATCGACATAGTCTTATTGAAACGCAACTGTCGGACATCCAATTTGTGCGATAAGCAACGAAATTTACATAAAATACACCTCAAGTCTCTATTAGTGCACAACGCAGTTATATACACTTCTGTTTCCAAAACTGACTTGTACGATGAACATATTTTATTCAATGTTGAAAGGGATTGGGCTGAAGTTATGTAACTTATTACCGCCCGTTCCCATCAGAAACACGAACAAAAATGAATGGACGTATTGAATGGACATAATAATGTTAAGACATATTATTCATTATTCGAAGCGCTTACTTCGTACAATGTATTTATGCACATGTCTCAAGTTTAAGATATTTTCATTAATAGTATTTGGCAGAGCAGGTTGACGTAAAGAATGGTATCAATATCTAAGTGAACTTTTGATAGTTCAAAGTCTCGCTTCAGATCAAAACGGCAGCTCACAATTTTGGACATTTTAAAAAGAAATACCGGAGCGCCACAATTGCAAGCTTTAGTCTTTGATAAATTACCACGAAAAAGATCTACATGTAATCAACTACACGAATGTCTTAACTTCGTGTATAGTATATTTGTCTTTCTTTCACCAAATAGAAAATATTTTGGAACTTTATCATTTTCTTCAGATAACTTTGATTTAAACGACGATAATGAATTTGTACATTTTGTTGTGCATTCCATAAACCTGCAGAATCATAAATTAAATGACTTTTGTAGAATTGAGGTGCGAAATTTAGGAATAGCCAAATCTGATATGTTACGCAAGTTGTATCCGGAAATGGTTTCAGTAAAAAGTGGAAGTAAATCTATTGGGTAATGAGGAGCTTGTATATTAACAATTTTGTAGAATGTACAGAGTTTTCTTTGTGTTCGTCTAATCTTCAATGGTAACCAACCAGTTTCACTGTATAAACTATACCTTGAAGCGATTTAGGCAACCCGGTTACAATTCTTGCTGCTTCAAATAATCGAATCTGAACCAGACAATCACTGAACAACATCATAAGGCAACCTACTCAATTGGGAAACGATGACATGCTTGGGTTGCTGAAGACCGGTTTTGGTAATATATCAATCGGCACCCAATAATGCGGAAATACAGTCCTCCGGCCGATCACGTCTATAATTTTCTTGTCTCCGTTCAAAAATACGCAACAAGCCCGCGAGCAGTGAGACCTATGGTCGACAATGAGAGCACCTCACCCCATCGCAGCTGAGCGAGTATCTACAAGATCATATATATACCATGTCTTACTGGACATAGTATCTATCAGTACACAAGTTCCATACTGTGGAGTTATGAGCACTTTCAACATCATTGTTTCTGTAATATGAGTGAACGTGACTGTGTACGCCATACTCGTCTCAAGAATGTTTGACAAACATTCCAGCAGTGAACATTCCCTTTGTTTCGGAATATTCAAGCAACTTCAGCCTTTCACGATTACATTTTGCAACATTTGAAATACATGTACTATCAAGTACACTCTTTCTTAAGACTTGTTGGATAAGGTTTGACGTATTCTCGACGTCAGCAACACTTTCAAAACATTCTAAACTTAACGCATAAGTCACAAAAATGAATCCGGAGCGATACCTTTTTTGACTGAAACCATATGTTCCTGAATGCTCTTTGGCGCACTACTGATTAGCCTTTGGATGTGTTTGTGACGGGTGTAGGATACGCTCACCTTTTCGCGGACACTTGGTATCGCCAATAATTGACAGTGATTCCTAAACACATGCTTATGATTTCTTCTGAACCGTACAAAAGACTCTAAATGTTTTTATCATTGTTTATATTTGATAATTATTTGGGCAGAATTAGTTTAATATTGACTATTCTTCGTTGTGAAATGTATTAATACACAATAACTCTCGGTATGTTTTATGTGAAAAATGAAAATACATAACTCTGCAAAGACATATAAGACGATTGATCAATCACCTGAAGAAGGGTCAAGAAGTAGCCAAGAAACGTCGTGTTATACAATAAACAAGAAGTTGCCATCCATATACTCGTCTTATATATTCACCAACTTCTAAATGCCTCTCAAGAATCTCTGCAAAGACATGATGGTCATGCTCGGTGACTTGGTCGATGCATGTCCTCGTATCCTGATTACGTCCTAATGACGTCTGCCATGACGGCAGTCTCTTGGTGGTATAGCTCGAAATTTGCTGAGTGCAGCGTTTATCAACAAACAAACAAACAAAAAATACCTAGCGCCCGGCAGTTTAAGGTGCGGCCGGGTATTCAACCACGGACCTTCTACTCTCCGGAGCGTAGGTGGACTTCAATATTCAGTGAGCCATGTAACATTGTAAAACTATTTGAGCATATCATTTGCAAACAGGCAAACAAGTATTTTTTTCATTTTGTTTTATTCTGTATAAATTATTCACAGGAAAATACAAGTATTATTTAGATAGGTATTGTGTTGTCACAATAATTAAATATACACGTTATGTACAATATAAACAAACTATTTACATGTGCGCGCATGTTATATGTACAGAGGGTGTCCGAAATTGATAAAACAAATATTTCCTGAGAAATTCCTGAAAATATATTTGGTGTTTTGAAAAATACCATTTACAGAAATGGTAAGGTCAAAATACATGTTATATAAAAAGAACAAACAAACAAACAACCTGTTACAAACAGACCGATACAAAGATATTTACCGTCCTGTTCAAACGTTTTCGTAACATTTACATATGCCTAAATAGCAAGTAAGAGATCTTGGACCTGCGTAAGCTTAATTGAACGCCTGTATTTGATATCCACAAATTGTCGTCACTATTACGCATAAGTAAAATTACGACTTTGGAGAGGGAGTGTAAACCATGGTTTACACAAACTGGTACTTGAGACATTCGTACTTCTTACAGCTGCATCCGGTTGGGATGGTGACGCGGGTTCTGCGACACTGCTTGATCTCGCCGGGACAGAAGACATAGATGTCCCGTTCAACCATGCCGTCGGGGACGCAGTAGTGGTGTTTCACCTCCGTGGTGTCCATGACGCAGTGACCTCTGGAGAAAGGAAAAGAAAAAATAACAATGGTCATAATATTTCTGATTAGTGCGTCACTAAAACGGAACCAAACAACCCCCTGAGAAAAGAGAAGGAATTACTAATAATCCTAATAGAATCAGGCGTAGAAATGCATGCTGCTCATCATTGTGTTAATGCATAATATTTAAATACCACTAATAATGAAAATCTGTGAATATAATAATCATGATTTTGATCTGATACACAAACCTCCAACAACAACAACGAACTTGTAGGACAACATATATCCCATTCAATACTATTATATGAAAGAGGTACGTTTTTTATCACGGCGTTTTATATATTCCCCAAAAACTATGAATTTGAAGGAAAACATTTTATTATCTTTTGTACACTTCCATGAAAGAATGTTTGGCCAAGATGAAGTATGTCCGACGTACCCGCATTGAGCGACTTCCACTCCCTGGGCTTCAGGCATGATGACGTAGCAGACCTCACGGCGTCCGCTCTGGGTGTTGGTCCACCAGATTCTCTCCAGGAGCTCGGTGTCCTCGGAACACAGATCCTTGTAGCGGTAGGCGGGGTAATGACTGGAATACCACAAATATTGTTAAACCGTTTATCGTATATATAAGTTAGTCAGTGAGCTTAGCGTAGCTTTACATAGCATTTGAAATACAGGGACGGGACAGTTCAGTTTGATAAGAATCACCGAACTGACGAAACAGGGGAAATGATTAGTATTTATGATTAATCATCTGCACCTACCCAGTGGCGTTCATCTTGTTGTGGAGGTAGCAGCCCTGCACCAGCAGCAACATGTACTCCATTGCGTCGGGGTCCTTCTCCAGGGCGCTGAACACACGGTCACTGGAACAAGCACGTTACCATCAGTGTCAGTCGTCTCATTCTTACGTACTATGTTACATAGACAACAGTAGATCTTTGTTGTTACATTAATAATACGGTTTAACGAATCTGTGCAAATTCAAAACGGTATTTCTTAACATTACAGAAACGGTGCTCGAACTCGAACCTCACACATCTGACAAACAATGACATTTATCACTGGGTTGTCCATAACTTTATTGCCTGAATCAAGTATAAAGCATAATATATGATATAACATTAGCAAAGCATATTTCAGAATAAATATTTAAATAAATGCTTACACAGGGTACTTGTAGGACTTGTCAAAACACAGCTTCTCCTTGGTAGGCCATTCGTACTGTGGGACGCCATTCTTGTCAAAGTAGCAGATTGGCTGTTTGGTCTTGGCGGAGAGGTGGCTGAAGATGCTGGAGCCGTCACGGACGCGGGCCCCAAACAAGGAAGACTTTCTGGATTTCAGGAGGCTGGCGAATCTGCTGGATGTGGAACCACCCAAAGAACGCCCGTTGACGGAGGGACGGTTCCATGCCAAGCTGACGGCGGCCAGAGACATGAGAACGCATAATGTCTTGAGAACCTGCTGAAAGAAATGGGAGAAACAATT